GGGAGGGCCAGAAATTCTGCCCAGATTCTCAGTGTCTGGGTTTCTTTTGAGGGAGGGAGGGGGCGGAATACTGAGCCTCCACCTCCTGGGATTACAATTAAATTGGGGGAAGATACAAAATGGAGAAGAGGGTCAGAAAAGTAACCGTCCCTCACAATTTCCCCGCCAATCCTTCCCTAAGCGCTTTCTTTTTCAAAACGGTACTTCTTTCCTGAGACAAGCTGTGTTTTGAAAAGTGCCTGCAGCCGATTGCCAGAAGTGGGTGGGGTTTGGGGGTGGGAGCAGTACTTTTTCCTTTGGGCAGGTTTGGCAGCGGGACGCTGGGCAGGCACAAAAGAGATCCCCTCCACGCGCGTGCACAGATGCCGCGCTGCGCCCCTCTGCGGGGCGGGGGCCCGGCTCGGCAGATGGCGAGACGCCCAACTGGTGACGGATTGTCTATCAAATGGCACTTTCTGGATGGTGGGAATCTCGCGGTCCTGGGGCGCAAAGAGAAATGCAGGAGACCCCATCTGCTTGCCTGGCCAGTTTCTTGCAGAAGTGAGGGGTGGGGGTGGATTGGCTGGGGTGGTTCGGTTAAGTTTTTGGTTTTTTTTTTTTAACCCCTCTCACCCCCATAGAAGATCCGCCTGAGACTTGTGAAGGTGTGGAGAAGGGAGGTGGCTGGACTCCAGGGGCACACAGTAAGGGGTTGGGGGGAAGGCCCAGTAAGATGGAGGAGGAGAGAGGGCTCGGAAGCAGAATCTCCCGCCTGGTTCCTGTTGGGGTGCCGGCCTTGCTTCTTGGAGGGGTCAGCGCTGCAACTCTGTCGCTGCGGGGCCCTGGTGACAGGCGCACGCCCCGCCCTTTCTCCTCCCTAGACCTGCGGGCTTTTGTTATGCAGATGGCGGCGGGAGGCTGAGCCAGCGAAGGAGGGGGTTGGTGGGGCGGAGGAGAGAAGGAGAGGGGGAGGAAAGTGCAGCTCGCGCGACCAGCCTCCTCTCCCAACGTCACATTGTGCGAGAGACAAAACCGGGGCGCGCCGGAGCTCACACGCGCACGCATACACAGACGACCCTGTCGCCTCTTCTCTCCCGGCGCTGCTGAGAAACCAGCCCTCCCTCTTCCTTCCTGGGGCGCAGAGGCTCAGGCGGCTCAGCGCGTGGCCGAGAGCCAATCCAGGAGGCGAAGAAAACCCGAGGACGAACCTTCTTTCTCCGCTGCCTGCCCGAGAGCGGAGGCTTCTCCTCTCCAGCCCTGAACTCCGATCTCCCACCCCACCCCTCTGGGTGTCACAGAGACGGTACCCGGAGACGGGTGTGCCCCCGTTTGGAATCAACGTTTCAGCACTTCGGACAGCGCCCGGGAGCCCGGGCCCTTGTGCGTTGGCTATGGCGAGCGTTCAGCAAGGCGAGAAACAGCTTTTTGAGAAGTTCTGGCGAGGAACCTTCAAAGCGGTGGCCACCCCGCGTCCCGAGAGCATCATTGTTGCCAGCATCACAGCCCGCAAGCCGCTGCCAAGGTAATGACCTCTTTCTTAAGTGTGTGTGTGTGTCGGGCTGGGGAGGACTTCAAAGGTCTCCCTTTCTGGCCTGGCTCCAGAGTCCTGAGGGATGGATGTGCAGACAGCTGGGCCAGGGCGCCTGCCTTTTCCCGTCACTCGGTACCTACCGCTAGAACATGCGAACTAATTGCTCGCGTAAAGTGGAAGCTGGTGAGCAGGGAATGGGATTTTTGGGGAGGGAGCCATGCACCAAAGATCCCATAGCTCCTTTTCAAGAGGTTTTGCTTTCTTCGGGTGGGGTGGTGTAGGCAAGGTCCAACTTGACAGCAAAACTTTTTTTTGGTATCACAGAGCCCAGGGGGACAAAAGAATGGTGGATTCAGGGTGGTCGGGAGGAATGTTGTACAAGAAAAGAGGAAGATTGAACCAGCTCAGGCAGTATTCAGAGACAGCACATTTCTGTCCTCAGCTCAGAAAACTAGCGAGCTCTGAACATTTGGACAAAAGCCCATATCTGTTCCCTCAAATACACCCAAAACAGCACCCTCCTCCACGCCTTTCTGGCTGTTGCTGCTGCTGTATTCTCTCTTCTCCAGCATCCAAAACCAAGACTGGGCTCCAGAGTCAGGGAGGAGCCTTCCAAGATCGTGAGGCTGCTCTTAGAAGAGTTTTATTCGATTTTTCAAAAAGGAATCGAATCGCTTTGAACTCAGGCATGAGGACAGATCCCTGAATGGTGGTAGAAATGGCTTGATGGGAGGGGAGAAGGAGGGAAGAAAAGAAAGGGAGGCAGGAAGAGGGAGGACAGGCCCTGGGGTGAGAAGAGACTGAGGAAAACAGAAATATTCCAAGACAGAACCAAGCCAGATGGGTTCCCCCATCATTCGATCTAGAGGAGTTTGAGAATGAAAAGGAGAAGCCTGCACCCTCTGTCAGAGAACAGGAAGGCAGAATGAGCACTCATCTCTTGCTGGTAGTGGGTGAGTGGTTTGGCAGGAGAAGAACAAAGTGGACCAGGGGGAACCACTTGGAGGATTCATTATTCCTGGCAGCTGCAGTAAGGAGTCGATTGGAAACATGTTCAGGAAAGTGCTGGACAGAATGCCTGTTTTGGCACAACTGAATCCGAACTTTCTCGTGTGCATGGGTGGAAGACGGATGGGAAATCCTATCGGAAGCATCAAACCCAGATGGAAGAACTTTTCTCTTCATAGTCTGCTGGAGGCTCATACAGGTCTTTAGAAAAATGGGCCTCCCCTGTTGGGCATGAGTGGCAAGAAACAGGATGGGCCAGTAGGGTGTAGCTGGCTGCCTCCAGCAGTGGCTATATTTGCGGATGGTGGGGAGGGGACACCCGCTGACACAAGCTGGAGAAGGGGAACAATAACACCCAGTGCCATTAAAAGCAGAGGCTCCTCTGCTTGGAAGGAGGTTCTTTGTAGCGAGTTTTGACGTCAACACTTTTATCTTCTTGGGCTCCTGCCATCCATACCACCTTTGGAGTGCACCCGCTGTTGGCAGATCAGGTGCTGCGTTGGCCAAAGAAAATGCCCTTGTAGAAGGGACTAGAGCAAATCGCATTGGAGACAGGAAGTGTGACATTTGGTCCAGAGTCTTCTATTTCAGGTGTGCAGGAAGAGAACAGATTCCTGGTGGTGTTTTAGTTTAGAAAAGCACGCCTAATGTACACCTGGCTTCGAACGCTCACCCTTTGTCTGTTACTGACATCCTTTTTCTTGGTCACAGCCTCAATCTTAACGAATCACCTTAAAGGTGCCCGGACTCTCATGCTTTCTATAGGTTTCTGCTCATTTAACCTATCTGAGACTTTTATAATCATCTCCCAGCCCACTCCCCCCAGGATCATTTCACTCTCGGTATCTCTTAATGTCTTGAATCTCCTTTTCCTGGATCACCCCTGAGGTCAAAGTCTGAGCTACAGGCCCTTAATTTATGTTATGCAAGGAGGATTCTGTGTCTTACATCTGGAACAGGTGTGGCTTTCTACAATGGATTCCAGTTTTAAAGCTGTTGTGACTCCTGGCTCGGGGTCAAGTGTGAGGAGGGAATGTCGTATCGAAGTCCTCAGGAAAGACTGCATTCGAGTCATCTTTGAACAGTTTGGCTATAAGCCCTGAATTATCCTTATTTTCACCCAAGTCAGCCACATTCAGCGATGGTCCATTCCTTTTCAATGTTCGATACTTACTTAATGATGAAAGTACTGTGTTTTCTAAAGCAGAGTTTGAGTTCCTAGGAGGAAAAAAGACAAGAGACACTGGCACAGTATCAGCCAAGCCCCCAGTGGCTTCTTCTAGAGCAAACTGGTCTCATCAGAAATGTTTAGTTCCATGAGTCAAGCCCAGCTCGCAGTCACCAGATCAACACAAGTCTGTCTGCAGGGCGGTGGGGGAGGTAGCAGATGAACCACCAGCCAGTCCTATTGGTTAACACACTTACATTATTTATGGAGGAGGACCACCCCCCTGAATCAACTTCCCCCAGGATATTTCAAGTCTAGCTGGGAAGGTAATTTAGCACTAGGATAGAAGCATACATTCAATTGGTTGTTTTTATAGCAATATGCATTCATCAGACAACTGCAGTCTAAGCAACCCCCCCCCAGTCCCTCCTCCCATCTCCTCTCTCCCCTTCTGTGAGGTAGACTTGAGGAGGCAATGGCTTTACAATGTATCAAATTGCAAGCAGATGTCAGACTCAAATGTCAGAACAGTATGGCAGAGTGGGAGGTAGTCTATCTTAGTGGTTAAAAGCTCAGACTTGAGTATGAGACAACCTGGATGTCTCCCCGGTCTATCCTTGACTAGCCAAGTATTCGGAACAAGCGGCTTTACTTTGCTGGGTCTGTTTGTCGGCTTGAAAATAGAAAATAGCAGTCACCTCTGTGAGTTCCGAAGGTTTAATCAGGCAAAGGTGTGTAGCCAAGGTGTGTGGCCCATAGTGTTTAACAGACACCAGCTCTGTTACAACGCTTACTACAGTTTTATATATATATGTTTCATATGCATATATATATATAAGACTGTGTGTGTGTGTGTGTGTATCAGCAATTCCTCTGGATTGTGATTTCCATGCCTACTCATTTCTCCACTAAATAATGCTGATAACAAAAACTGTGGCATTTCAACTCCTGACAAGCCACTGCACTGCAAGGTATTCACAGACACGGTGGTACAGGGAGCGGTCTCATAGTTCCCCTCCCTGAGGAAGGGTTGGCTGCTTTCTGACCTGTTTCATGGGGTAGGGGACTAATGAAGAATTATCTGGACTCAGAATCAGTTGGTATGGCATCCTTATGGGACATTATTTTGGTTTGTGTGGAGAAGACCAGGTACAGTCATTCTAAAGAAGCTCAAAGTCCTTGCAAGGGTACAGTGGAATCCCTCAGTTTCATTGCATCTATCGTGATTAGATAAAGTACAGTTTATATCATCTTTAAGAATGAAAGGGGGAACCAGCAGTTAGCATAACAGCTATGTCGCTAAACTCCCATGTAGCCGACCGTGGTTCGAGTCCTGGACCCGGTGGCTTAAACTCACGCCAGGCGCGTGTGTACATGTCCAAGATCCCAAGAGGAGAATGGAGGAGAAGGGATTGTGGCATGTCCATGCCCCCTGGGGGTGATTTCTCACTTTCTGTCTCTCTCTCTGTCTCTGTCTTTCTGGCGAGTGCATGCACCCTCTAGCAAAAACCTCTCAAAAAAAAAAAAAAAAAAAAAAAAAGAAAGGGGTCATTCACTGTTAGTAATAATTCCAGAATGGAAGCTCTAACGGGGATCCTCTCAGGCAAACCGGGATAGGGTTGCAATAGTCAAACCTCATTCCATAAAAGTTGGAAGAGCTAACATGAACTAACACGATATCTGAAAAAGGGAGAAAGATTATCCACCAAAGGACGGTAGTCATTCTGCCTGGCATTAGCTTAATCCTCTTTTGTTAATTGCTTAATCTAGAAAAGTTTGAACCTAAGAAGTTTCTGCTTAGTTAGAACATTTTTGAGACCAGCTCCAGCTATAATAACCATTTCAACGAACGGGAGTAGCTGAGGACTAATGAACATGTTGAAATCATTTGAAATTAGCACATCAATTGTTTGTAGATACGTGTTAGGAAAGGGCTAGGGAAGCATCCCTCTTCAATAGAGTAAGCATTCCCTTTACAATTCTCTTGGCAAGCTATTCATTTTCTTTGAAAATCCATTCTATGCAGAATAGTCCAGAAGCAGACTTCAGCATAGTCCCTGTCTAAAGGATCATAAATTCCAAACTATTGGAGATTTTACTGCATAAAGGGAAAGA